CGCTTTATTATTGAAGTATAATATTCTTACTCATTCTTATCAATTTTTTGTACTTGGAAACATATCACCAGTAATCTTCCAATTATTTCTTAGAAACACTAGATGCTCAAAAGTAGTAGGTAGGAGTGATGTTCTTTTTTCTGTCATTGTATTTCCAGCATCACTAAAAAGTCTTTCACTTGCAGTCAAAGTTGCTGAGATAGCCAAATATTTTCGAGCTAATTTACTTAACACAGGAAACCATTTTTGATTAGTACGCCACCAGGTTAATGGATATTGATCCTATAGAATTTCTTGAGCTCCAAGATAATCTAAGACTTCTAGCCGTGGGCATCTATTATTAAACATTGAAGTTATTAAAGAATTAGATTGGCTTTGTAAATTATCATTTTTTTTTATTCCATATATAACCTGTGATTCTTTATATTTAGTTTTAAGCAATTCAATAGTTTTATTTTTTAGAGATTCTGACATAAAAGAAAGAGGCTTGCATCAAGGATCCAAAAGTGTTGCTAACATAGCTTCATCACTAGGTACATTCCAATAATGTACTATAGCATCATATAATGCAGACTTTATTTTTTCTTCAAGATTTGTACAATTTTGTGGGTTATTAATATTAATTCGACGTTGCTTTCTATTTGATGTGTGATCTTTTTGTACTCCATCATCGTCATCATAAATAACATCATCCTCAAAAACATCATTAGCAGAATAAAAATTCATATTTGAGATTTTAGAAAATAAAAGAAGCCCTTGTTCAATTACAGTAATCGCACTATACATAAAACTGATTGTAGCATATTTGCTACCTCCCAATAGTTCAGTTGCTTCAGCAAAAGGCTTTAAAATTGCAGTTAATAATGAGATAGCATCTCATTCATCACTTGTTAGATTGATTTTTTCTAGACGAATACCATCTTTTTTGGTTTGCAAATCATTGTCTATTGTCATATTGGCTATCATTATATTAATTATACCCTGAATTTGTAGAAGTTGTTGTCAAGCAAGAAATGATGAGTTCCATCTTGTGGGAACATCTGCAATAATTTGTAACTGATGGTCATTATTTTGGAGTTCCTAAAATTATATATGCCGCACATTAAATTAAGAGTTTTATTGACAAATTTTTACTTCATTAGAAATTTAATACTAATATCACGTATTTAATTATTTCATATATCAGTAATTATAAAATTAATTTAATATCATATACATTAAGATATTATAATTCTTAAATTTCACTTTAACTCTAATAAATACTGAATTTTTCACTTACTATATTTTCAGATCAGTGTAAATTTTTTTGAATATCAATTAATCTTTCTGTTTGCTTGGGCGTAGTAAAAAACAACATGAGTCTTTTGGCACGTGCTATAAGAATTTCAGCATCAAATAATCCCTTCCCAATAGCACATTGCAAAGTATGTGCCGTGCATGGAATCCAAACGATATTTGGCATAAACTTTATTGCTTTAACCATATTGCTGCCATTGTCTGTTGTGATGGTAAAAACCTTATCTATTAATTTCTAGTCATCAATTATAAAACGTAATGCTTCTACAATTGCTTCGCCAGTATGTAGATATGGTAGATATTGAATCGTAAGAATAATTTCATTTAATTGAAAATCATTGTCAATAAATAAGCAAGTAACTCCAAAATATCCCATACGATTCCGTCCTGTCTACAGATCACAAGTCAAAGAACAAGTTATAATATTATTACAAAGCATTTCTTTAAGATGTTTTTTAGAAGCTAAAAAAGCATCTGTAAGTAATTTTCGGCAATGCCTTTCACTAGGCAGTTGATAATTAGGGTCAAATTCTGCTAAAAATTTGATAAAACCAGGTCCTTCTCGTATATTAATAGGCAAATGATCCT